ATATCTATTGAAATTTCAAATATAGAAATAATGCAAGACACCCACATTCATATCGTAAAGTATTTGGTTATTCCCACAATTATTATTTTTATATATATAATATCAATAAGTTATAAAAATCAAAATATAATTTTAAATATATGAAATTTATATTAGGACAAATTAATAAATTTTCAAAAAGCGCTGATGGTTAGACGTTTTTAAGGTTAGGAAGTTATTGTAGTACAAAATACTGCCAAATGCTACAGGGATTTGAATTTGAATAATAATGTAAATATTGTGATATTATTTTATCATTATTCATTACGTATTGTTCTATGGTTGTACCACGGATGTCGGATATTTACTAATATTAGTGTTATGTTTTATGGGTTATACACAACACACACGTTTTTAAAATAAACAAAATTTATGATACATGAAATTGATTTTTTTTTTTTATTAAACTCCTAAGTCCTAATTCATTTTAATTTGAGATTGGTTATTGTGTAAAATAATTTATATTAATAATGTCAAACAAAATTTGTTGGTTTGGCTGTAACAAAACAAAAAAACTATCGGTATTTGTAACACCAAAAGATCCACATTTAAAAGAAAAATGGTTGGATACTCTAAATATTGAATACTTAGACACAAATGATGTTATTTGTGAACAACATTTTCTAGTTGATTTAATTATAAAACAAAATAATATAGTGGATAAATTAGGAAATATTGTATGCTCAGTAAGTAAAATAACAATAACAATTAGTATTTTATAATAATTATTTTATTAATTTATAAATTATTTAATCTCTCAAATTATCAACTTTTCTTTAAATGTAAAATAAATTTTTGATGTAATTATAATATTACATTTATTAATAAAATATTTAGACTACATTAGGCCTCGTTTAAAACCAAATACGGTACCATTTTCGGATCGAAAACGATTGAAGTTTTCAGAAAATAAGGTAGTTATAATCTAAGTAAATACAAAATGTAGTATGGAAATAGTTGTAATCTTAACCAATGTTAATAATAGGAGGAAGATTTAATTCAAACGTACAATCCATTAGACACTACTAGTACTAATACTGACAGAGCACCTTTAACATGTGATGGTGATAAAGAAGTAAATTTT